AGATCCGCCCATAGCGCGACGTCCCAATATGATTGTTGGGCCTCATCGATGATGAGATACCCTCGTTGTGTCAGCCAGGAGCGGCCATGGACACCAGTTTGTTGCTCGAGATAGCCGTCCCAGCCCTTTGCTCTCGTTACCATGTCTACATCCCAACCAGACATGACGTAAAGAGGAGTCTTTGGATCACAGTCAAGTAGCTTATTCGCTAATAGATTCACGATGGTTGTCTTACCCGAAGCAGGAGTCCCCCTCACTCGAACAATATGAAATACTTTCAGTCGAGCGATGAGCTCTTCGATCAACCCATCCCGGTGAACGATATGTGGTCCGATATCTATGAAGATTAGCAATGATCTTGCCAAGTCGGGTTGAAGCAAACTATATACCTATAGGTGCAGTTATCTGTGACGGTGCGAATCCAGAGGAAGTAGCTATGACGCAAGGTTAGCTGATGAACATCACGAGTGTAAGAAACGAACAGTAATCTTGGTGGAGGTTCATTGGATGCGAGCATTTTTCACATTGTGCTAGGTTGTTCATGTCCGCAAGACGCGAGGCGCAGGACCCCTCGGGACAAGCACACCGTAAAAATAGTTTTTCGTCTTGCCATTTACATGGCCCCATGAGGAAAAGTAATGTGTAATTATTGATAGTGGTAGGCGATGATTTTGATGTTCTGCAAGTAGATAGTACAAAAGGAATGATCGGGGATTGGGGCTCCATATCTAAGGAGGGTGGCCTTAAATGAACTCCTCCTACCTAGCTGTACATTGAATTGAGCAACGGGACGCTGGAATAGCGTCTCTGGGTGTCAATTAACCATCACTGTAGTACGAGGAGTGAATTATAGTAATTACGTATCAGCGGAACATAGGCTGTCATTATAGTCCTGCGATAAATATATAGCGTCAACACGAACTGGACTCATATTTGACATTCTCCTTCATTCCCTTCCTTCCCCATTCATATCGCCGCTCTTTCACATAGAACACTGTCGCCGTGCTTTGCTGCTTCCTCTTTGGCTTTGTCATGAGCCTTGACTTTCCAGAATGAGACAAATGGCAAGCAAGTATCTGCCGCCCATCACTGTAATGATTAAAAGCACAGGCCTTGTACTCTGGTCTTACAGCTTTCGATAGTGCCGCAGAGGGAGAATAGAAGGTTATCACAGAATCATGCTTCCGAGAGATCTCTTTTATGTCCTAAAGGATAGTACTCAGTCGTGTGATAGGCGGTGTATTGGAGACTTGACGGAGTTAAGGCTCACCGCCTTGACCGTAAATCCGACGCAGAAGCTGCCAAATCCTCTCCGAATTCCATCTCCGCGTCGCCGAGCGCGCTTCCCCCAGCTTGAATGATTATTGAAAGCTTTCAAGTTATTGCGCTAGCCAGCTACTGGGGAAAAGACCCATCATTCACTAGAATCTTCTAAATCACATATCTTGGATTCTGACGCGACGTCGCTGCTTACAGAGACACTCACTTGGGATCGCATCCCACTCCGTTTCGCATCTTTCTCCGACCTCCGCCGCAATTGCGACTTTTACGACCGATCGATAATCAGCAAAGAAGACTTCCCCGTCGGTCGCATTTCCATTCCGGCTTGTGGAAGCTACCGACTCACAATCCAAAACTAATAGTATGAAATTGTATGCGACTGGAACCATACTCTTCGTCTAGGTTGCCAGTCTGCAGAATCGCCAGTTTGCGGGATCTTGAAGGCCAACATATCCCTAGGATTTTGTGCCGGAGCACGCACACGCTGGCTACCCACAGACGGGGTGCGCTTGGACCTTAGAAGGTCGCTGGACGATTTGGAGTGATGGCCGGGGCTACGCAAGCGCCTGGTGATCAAAATCAGGTGGATGGTCGCGTTACCAATCAAGGGTCGACAAACCCGTACGAAACAAACCCCGAGCTCCTCCCCGACGACGACCTATTCCTCGCCCGGAGTGTGCAATATGGCCGCTACGCGCCTCGCGAATCTGACTTCAAACCTCGATACAATCAGTGGTGCGAACCGGATCCAGAGGTCACTTCATACTGGGAAGGCATTGTGAAAGAGCTCTGTACGGCAGAGAATTCTCTGAATGTCTCGGGGAACCGGGAGGTCTTCGCTGCTGGCAGCGTTGTCATTCGCGTCGATCGTGAACCTTCAACTGGCGCCACTGCTGAAAAGTACTCGTGTGCCAACGCCAATGAATTGAGTGCCGCAAGGAAGGCTGAGGATACGCTCAAGGAGATGTCCATCGCCGTGCCGGTCATATACTTTTGCGGGACAATAGATGGGAAGAATGTCACTGTGGAATCTAGAATCCCTGGCGTTACTCTCGAGGTAGCCTGGAGGTACCTCACAGCTGAGCAGATCGACATGTTCAAGCAGCAGTGCCGTCGTATATCGCAGCGCCTTGGCGGGATAGATGCACCCCCCGACCGCCCTTCGTACGTTTGCAGTGGACTCAACTCACAAGCGTCACCTGATGCCCTGGAACCAGAGAAGAATATACTGTTTCGTGAAAGGAAGGAGGACGAACATATCTGTTTGGTCCACAACAATCTGGTACCGTCGAACGTTGTTATCGGCGATGATAAGGTGATCGGGATAACTGGTTGGCGACAGAGCGGGTACTTTGGCTTTGAAAGGGCAGATGAGATACATCGACGCTTTAGGATACTGGTGGCATCTGCCATACATGGAGATAAAGCTACTGATCTGCGAGCGTGGTCTGACCTATATGAAGGACTTGATGCCGCAGGAGTAGTTAGATCCACGAGCAAGCAAGATACACCAATCCCTCTTGTCAAGACCGAACCCCTCAACACGAATTTGGATAAAGTCCCCCTCAACGAAGAGTCGGAATCCAAGCCACCGGTTTCTTCACTTGACGGCCCGGCTGCGGACCATCTCACCCCAAAGAACATTGCGAGTCTCAAAAATAGGGGATCCTCAAGAGCGTCGTCTTCTGACCGCTCCTCGCCAGCTACATCTACGAAACCTGGCCCGGCCCGGAAGTCTGCTACTGCTGCAACCAAGAAAGGGACTGGGCGAAAGTCCACAACCAAAAAGAGGAAAGCAAACGAATTGGACAGCGATATTGTTGATGGCGGTCGTTCCAACACTCCGTCTTCGGCTCGTGCGGGCAAGCCCGCAACCAAAAAGCGAAATTCCACCTCGCACACCAACTCGCCCGCCCCCGATATTAAAAGAAAAGGCAGCAAGAACGTTGAGCAAGATGATATAGAAGAAGAGGAAGAAGATGACTCTGATGATAACGATGAAATCTTTTGCATCTGCCGCAAACCTGACAATCATACGTGGATGATTGGCTGCGATGGTGGGTGTGAGGATTGGTTTCACGGGAAATGCGTCAACATCGACCCGAGAGATGCAGACCTCATTGACAAGTACATCTGTAAGACGTTCCCTCGGCATACAGGCATAATGTATGCCCGTGCACTAACACTCTGCAGGCCCGAATTGCAAGGAGCAAGGCAAAGGATGGACTACATGGAAACCTATGTGCCGGCTAAAGGAATGCCGCAAGCCCGCCCGAGTCAACCAGAAAATCCCCAGCAAATACTGTTCAGACGAACATGGCCGGGAGTTCATGCTTCAGCGAACCAAGCTTCTCCTGGGTACGGGACTGAAAGCAAAGACAACCGCAGCAGGCCGAGCAGCTACCAATGGCATTAATTCGAGCGAAAGCAATAGTCGTGATGGGACCGCTACGCCAGACAGGCGAGATCCGGACGATCTAGGAAGCCGAGGTGGAGTCCTTACAACAGGCGATCTCAAAGCTGTCGTAATGGGCGTCAGCTCCGCCAAAGAATTCCGCAAACTAGGCGAAAGCATCATATCGCTTCCCGCCGAAGAGGAAAGCAAAAATACCGCCACTACCACCACCGATCCGGAAGCCGAGACCAAGGAAGGAAAGAAGATCGGTCTGGACTTCGACGTAGACTGGCTCACATACACTCCCGACGAAGCATCCAAACTACAAAAGATCCGCAAGCAACGGGACGACCTTCTCCATCGGAAAGAGATGCTCCGCGCCCGAAACACATTCATGACACTGGTGCGCCAGCGATCCAAGAGCATTCTGGAGCATCTAAAACAGACCGACCCAAAGGGTGGTTGGAAAGACATCTGCGGTTTCGACAGCAGACTCGCATGGTCGGACGAAGAATTCGACGAATGGCGGTTATCCGATATTGGCGCGAAAGCACTCGAGGATGGCTCGCCCGAAGCCCTGGCATCGAGCTATCCCGAAGCTGCTACGGACCCCGACGGCGACACCGCCATGGATGACGACAACGAAGACGATTTCGAGAAACTCTCACGTGGTGTCTGTATTAAGAAGCGTTGTGAGAGGCATAAACAATGGCTCAAGGTCCAACAGCAAGATGCTGTATTCGAGGAAAACACCCTCGCTCTGGATCTTAGCAAATGCGAAAAGGAAGCGAAGAATGTCGTTGAGAGGGCCGTTCTTAGGATGTGGGCCGAATCAGACAATGCGCAAATTGGTGGCCAGTGATGTAATATTACCAGGGCAGGCGTTAAACCAGCGTGCTTGTCTTTCTTCCCAGCATTCTCCTTTCATATATTACATACAGACGCTTCCTATCTCTCATTCTTTGTCGTGTTTGACAATTGACTTGATTTGGTTGATACCCCCATTCATCATCATCATTATCATTTATTCATCTGGAGAAAAAAGCATGATTCACAACTGGAGTTAGTCAGCGCGGAAAGGCACTTTGGTCTGCTAAGGGGGAAAACTTGGAACTGGTGCATAGTACTTGCATGATAGACGGGGTCAAGGGTTTATGTTTGTTTGAGATTTCAAGTGGAATGACATATTCAAATGGAGTAAGCAGGAAATACTACTATCTACATAGGGCACAATATCATACAACAGGGCATGCACACCCTGCAGCTTATACTAGCAGCTACCAAGCCTCACACAACGAATTATAAACCCAGCCATTCATGTTAATCAAACCTCACCCTCCCAAACACACCACCTCCCAACATTCCCACCTACTCTATCCTTAATAACCTCCACAACCGGAACACTCCCAATACTCGACACCAACAAATGGGTATCAATCCCCTGATCCAGCGTCCTCATCAACAGACTCGGAAACATCTCACCACTATGCGCACGAAACGCAGACTGAATCCCCTCGCCATCATCCATTTCATACAATCCCCCACTGCCACCAACATCGACCTCCCCCACACCTCCACTTTGAGTCGACGCCATCTTTCCCAATCCACTAGTATTCACCAGCATCACAGAGAGATTCGACCCGTGCGTTCGCGTCAACTGCGTTAATGTTCGTAACACAGACGTGAGCATAGCTGATCCCCGCAGGGGGTTCGAAGCTCGGATTACACCCTCGGTTAGGGTGTCCAGGCCTGTGATTATTATGATATGTTCTTGATGTGGTGGTGGTGGTTCTATTGATGGTGTGGTGGCTGGAGATATGGTGGTTGCGATTTCGTGGATGGCTTGTGCGGCTGCGTTGAAGTCGTAGACGGGGAAGAGTTGGACGGAGTCCAGGAGGGTGATTGCTTGGGTTCGGGATAGAGGAGGTTGTTGCTGTTGTTGTTTGTTGAGGAGGGAGGTGAGGAGGCGTTGGGGGGTGAAGGCGCTGAAGTTGGCCGGGTGGATTATGTAGGTTTTTGGTTGGTGGGTGTCATGTTGGTGTTGGTGTAGTAGGTGGGTTGTGAGGAGGTGGCGCGGGAGCTGGGCGGTTGTTAGCTATCTATGTATGTTGTTATATAGGGAGTTGGGATTTGTGGTAAGGAGGTGTAGTGTAAATGATCATCGGGGGTGGTGGATATGGCTTAACAGATTTATGCATAAGGGCACATAGCAGGGACAGGATTGAATAGGTTGTCTAAGGAGAAGGCAGACATACTCTTCCGATGTACTCATCCTCATCACTCGTCTCCTTATGTGCGTCTCTGAGCCTGGAGAAGCCAATGACTATGCCATATTTGAAAACGCTGTCTGGACTATCTTGAAGTCCTTTTTGCACGTCATCTGAGAGGTTCCAGCTTTGTTCCGCGGAGTGTTGTTGATCTTGTTGATGCTTTGTCTCTGCTGATGAGCCAGACGGCAACATGGTATGAGCCAAAACCGGTGGTGCTGGCTCAGCATCGCCAATATAAGCGTTGATGGACATGATGTTCACCGAACTGAACAGTGGGAAAAACGCGTAGCTGTGAACCGCGTCTGTTTATAGGGCTGTCTTCTGTCAAATTATGCTGAGCGTATGTAGTAGTTCAGAACAGCGAGCTATATTCACCCTGTTAGTTGTTGTTATCATATATACAAACCGAGTGTGTTGACTGGTTTAGATGTAGTCTCAAGGTGAGATGTATACAAGGTATGGAGTAAATCTAGGTTTCGCGAACGAATGTTGTGCCGGATATTGTAAAGCCCAGCTCGCCGCTCTTAGATAGAATGCACCATGTAAACCTCACAAAACCCGTCTCATATTCAATCGAGACTTGCACTACATTGGCTGCTCAAACGGAAGAATTATACCTAATAGTAATATAATATTCGATTAACCATCGAGTATGCCCTCTCAAGCATTAGTTCATGTAATGTCACGTGACAATGACGTATATTCTGTGTCGCAGTATACACCATGAGAATGCAGAGTAAATAACTTTCTACCTATATCGTTCTATATGTCGATATGCAAGCTGTAAAGTTACTCGGACAAACGGAAGTCGTGAATATAAGTATGGAATGAAATAATGTACAGGCGCATCACCAATATACTTACATTTCTTGAAGCGCATATCATCCAGAATGATTTCAGGTGTGCGCTCATTACTGCAGAATATCAGAGAGCGTTACCTACCGGCACCGTAGGAGAACCCAACCGATCATTTTCGCCGTTCGAAGGTACTTTTGTCCAAGTCCCTCTACCATCATGTACCCATCCGCTGCTGTCCAACACATCCCCTAGGATAGTGGATAATTCTGAACGCAGAGCATCAAAATCGTAATCTGGCGTACGGAATTCCGCGAGACTATCTAGAGCCCCCATCTTCCTGACAGTGTGTGCAATAAGTGAATATCCGGTAGCAATCTCCATCCATGGGTCACTGGGGTCCATGGAGCCTCTCTGTTCCATCTCCGTGATCTTGTCATTCGGAGACGGGGCAAGTTGAATGGTCAATGAACGCAGGTTTGTCATCAATTCGACGGCATCCAAGACTAATTTGACATGGTTATAGAACGGAAACACTGCCGTATAGTTGAACGACGTGAAGGATTTCAATGAGCGGGAAAGGTCCAGCCTCTCGGAGAACAGTTGTGTGGATGCCACTGTTCCCCACTTATTGAACAGGGAAGGAACCTGGAACATGAAATACTCGTAGTGATTGTATGCCCTGAGTGAGGAAGACTCGTTGAAGGCAAAGGAAGACCATACCCGAGTCTCAAGCAGACTGGCTGGATGCTTTGTCTCTGATAGTAGAGGAGGCTTGCAGACCCGCGAGTTCTGTTCCAATTGTAGAACCTGGAAAGGAACCTCGAATGCCCAGCTATGTCCGTCCATGATCCGTGTGTCAAGCATGGCGGCCAGAAATGGAGGAGGTGCAATCACGATGATCCGTAGCGGATTGAGACTATCGAGTACTGGACGCCACCAATAGGGATCCTCTCGATGATCGGGTGAGTCCATCCCCTTGGCCACAATCGATATTACATATCGACCAAGATCTAAACTCGTTGTAAAGGAGACAAAGTCCGCTACATCTTTGATATCGAAGCAAGCATGAGCGAAGAGGTGGGGGCGCACCAGCTCCAGAAGTCGGGAGGAGGTGCGTGCAAGATTCTTCAGATCCCTAGTTCTAGATGTAGTAATACGCATACAAGGAGGCTTGTGCACCCTGGACTGAGAAGGAGGGGAAGCCGAGAGCTCGGAGATGATCTGATCCAGAAGCTCATTCGGAAGGCTTTCTAGGGGCGAATGTGGTGAAGACATTGTTCCAGTAATCCGAGATAAAGTTTTCGTCCGAATGCCTCACATTGCGGAGACTATGGGCTTCAAATCAAGTATAGAAAGCCAATGAATTGGACATAAATGCCAGCCCACAGCGATGTACTTTCCAGAAAGGAGTTATGGCGTGGTGAGTTTCGGGAAGAATGCTTGCTGTCAATTGCCGGGGGACCCCACATTCATTTCACGTGATAGTGAAATGGCGAAGATGGCTCCATAAGCAGGAAAACCGTGACAGAATGCTTTGACAGACTAAATTGGCGTTTGCACAGATAGCAGGACTACTGTGATCTGTAGTCGCACTTTACATGCGCCGAATTTATATATATCACCGAACTCAAGCCAGACTCGACATGACATACTCTGTATAGCTTTGGAAATCACGCCAACTTTATAGGAACGCCTTTGCTGTATGAATGTGGAGCTGCATTAGTCTCTCCCCGCAACTCTTGCTCTGGCTTGTTCTGAGTCCTGACACTCGACAACATCGCAGCCACCCAGCAACGGTGTACTATTCAGAGTGCAATACTATAATCTCAACGGGGAGATAAGGAATTGTCGCAATAACTACTAGTAGAATTAATATAGTACTTGCTTTAGGCATCTGCAGCCAACCCAGAACAGAAAGAACCCCAGATGAAATTGATTGCTGAGTCAGTACTTATACATCGGCCCCACCGGAGGCTTCCTTGCCGATCTTCTTTCCGCCTTCCAGGATTTACATTAGTACTTCTGGCTCAATCCTTCATCGGAAGCTCTCCCAGATGCCAGAAGGCATTGAAGTTTGTGGAATTACTCGGTGTGTTTTGGTCTTCGAGTGAAGGTAGTCGTAACAAGTAGTACTCAAGGGGCGCGCAGATCGCAAGAATCTGCTTGAATTGTTTTGTTGTATGTTGTCTGGGCCTGCGAAATCGGTCCCAGAATTTGGGGTCACTGTCCAGAGCGGTGGGGCAAGAACAGACCGGAGAAGAACATGGACAAGACTCGGAGAACTCGCTTGCTGAGAAATGAGGGGGTCTCTTGCCCCCCATTTCTTCCTTCTTCTTGACTCGAGTCGGCTGTTGTCTTCTTCTCTCCATTCTGTCACCAGACCAGGTATGTTTCTTCCGTGAACCCATGAAAAGTTGGTTGTCACTGGATTCTCTAACTGATTTTCGGACAGAACACTCAAGCAATCACAATCATCATGGCCCCTCAACTCCACCGCAACCCTCCTTTCCGTGCTGAGCACCTCGGCTCTCTCCTCCGGACGGAGGAGCTCCTCAAGACCAAGGCCGCTTTCGAGAAGGGCGAGGTTTCCGAGGCTCAGCTTGATGCTATCGAGAACAAGGATGTGAAGGAGGTCGCGGAGACCCAGAAGAAGTTGGGTTATGCCGCCATCTCCGACGGAGAGTACCGCCGTCACAGTAAGCTAGGCCCTCATACATCGCGCATAATCATAGGAACTCATTGCTGACAATGTTGACCGCGACAGTGTTCTGGGGTTCTTTCTTCCCTGGACTTGAGGGATTCGAGGAGGTCCGTGATGTCGATGCCGATGTCTTCCGCCCCTACGCCCCCGATGTTGCCGCGTTCCTCGAGGCTGGTCACAAGCCTGGTGAGACCGTTATTTGCACCGGCAAGATCAAGCACGTCGGCAGCACTTACACCAAGGAGTTCAAGTACCTGGCCAGCGTTGTCCCTCCTGAGGAGGTCAAGAACCTTAAGATCACCCTTGCTGCTCCTAACTGGTACCACTTGCGGTACAAGGAGGGCAAGGCCTACCCCAAGGACGTGTACAGCTCCGACGAGGAGTACTTCGGTGACATCGCCAAGGCGGTTCAGGCTGAGCTGCAGGAGCTGTATGATGTTGGCTGCAGGAACGTCCAGTTCGACGACCCCAACCTTGCTTGTGAGTTCATCCTGTCTGTATATTTATCCATGAGAATAACACGCTGACTCAAACTGCAGACTTCTGCTCTGAGAAGATGCTTGCTGGCTGGAAGGAGGACTCTCTGAACGTTCGCTCCGCCGATGAGACCTTCGAGCAGTACATCAAGCTGTACAACGACAGCATCTCTAAGCGCCCTGCCGATATGCACATTGGTGTGCACCTTTGCCGTGGTAACTTCGTTGGCAGCCGTCACTTCTCTGAGGGTGGCTACGACCGCATTGCCACCAAGCTCTTCAAGGAGCTCAATGTTGACACCTACTACCTCGAGTATGACACCCCTCGTGCTGGTGGCTTCGAGCCCCTGAAGGAGCTCCCTACCCACAAGAACGTCATCCTGGGTGTTGTGACCAGCAAGTTCGCTGCCCTCGAGGACAAGGAGGAGATGAAGAAGCGTGTCTATGACGCTGCCAAGTTCATCGCCGAGGGCAACAACATCTCTCTCGAGGAAGCCCTCAACCAGGTCGGTGTCAGCCCCCAGTGTGGCTTTGCCAGTCACCGTGAGGGTAACGCCATTGACCGCGATGGCATGATCGCCAAGCTGAAGCTTGTGCGCGAGATCGCCAACGATATCTGGCCCGGCCAGCTGTAAATATACCCGTCGTGAATGGCCGCGACATAAACTCCTGTCGATTCAACAACGAAAGGGAGTATGAATGAATGTGACGACTTTAGCGTTTAGGATACCAGTTATTTAACATATGGATCGGATGTATAGTTTTAGAAAAATTCACGATTGTTTCTTTCACTTTCTCAAATACCATGCACCTGGACACATGTGCCATTATGTAGACCGACAAACTGAGTACCTTGGAGTCACTGCAAGCACAACGTCCCACCCAAGAAGCTAATGAAGGCAGATCACTTTGTTGTCAACCATTAACTATCTCTCATCTTGCCGTTTACCCTAAAACATTATTAAATATAGATTACCACCCCTAACCCAGGACTGCCCTCCGCACATCAATAAATAATGTCATGGTCCTTTCACTCCGCCGGGCCAAGAATACTACTCTCCTTGATCGCCGCTCGTTTATGTGTATGAGCGTTCTCGATCTACCACCACCCCAGAACCGTAATCAGCGTTACTGCTTACCATACCACATCCATCCGTATCACTATACACGCACCTCATACCGCGGCATCTCATCCGACGCTTCGATCTTCCGCCCCGTCATAGTACCAGAGTGCGTGCGGACGTCCCGGATGATGCCGATTGCTTCAGCGGTCTTAGAATCAGGTCCTGCGTATTGAGTTACCCCTTGTTAGTCTCCCTTCATCTATCCTTTCCTGCCTAGAAGAGCGGCCGGTCACGAGAGGGAGAGTGTAGTAATGACTCACCGCCAATAGGCTTATAGCGAACCGTATCACCTGTTGCGTAGTCGGGCATTCTCAGGTAAATATTCTCAGTTATGGAAAGCTTTGTCGTAGTCTTGTAGTGTGTACGTGTGTGTATAATACAGATAACTTATAAGTGAAAACTACTACGTGATGTTGTGTCGTCTATTTAACTAACAACCCATCAAGTTAACTTTTCCTTCCCAGAGCCACTGGTGTCAGATTGATGCTATCTGACGAAGGGAGGGAGCCAGCCACATTTATTACCCATGGATGGGGCGGGTAGTCGAGAGTTGTGCATGTGCTCGGAGCTTAACTTCGCTGCCTTTTATCCAATATATTTATGCAAGATTGGGTTTTGCTTATATATCCGATGGCCGGGAGGAGGTGAGGTGACTGGTGGGACGAGCTTTCCGTTCCATGTGTCTCAAGGAGGATTTTCCGAGGCCTTTTACGGGGTGGGCTGGGCTGGGAGGGAGGTCATGAGTCAATGACGTTGGTGGAACATATGATCTTTGTTTGTTTGTTTGCTTTTGGTTTGGGTTCCTTTATTTTTTATCGTTTATTCATAAAGTGTGGATTTTTTGGGGTTTGGTAGTATCTAAAGAATATTATCAACAACCGAGCCGGGGAAAATACAACTGGGATATAAATAAATAAATGCGACGAGAAAAAAGGAAACATTAAAGTGAGTATATGTATGCAGGTATGTGCTGGTCCAAGTTCCTTCTATTTTGAATGTTTCTACACACGAGAAGGGGGGGCGGCGAAGAAAAGCAGACAACAGAGAAAAGGAAAATAGGAAAATAGTATTAAGAGACGGTATTCGAAATGACCCGCATCGAAACAGTGGGGATATCATGAAAATAAAGGAGAAAGGAAAAGCGGAACGGCGTGCGCGTGAAAGGAAATATTGCAAACACAGGATCCAAATGCTGCGTCTTCTGTCATCAAATCGAACGTGAAACGAGAGGTGTTCTGATGGTTCAGTTGGTACAAAGGAAACTGTTGTACACGAGAGGCCGTGCAGATGGCCTCCAAGTTTTGCGGCTCAGGTGTTGGCCGGCGGCTGTTTTATTTCTGAGGTTGCGTCTTGACGTTGTTGGAGAGCCATGCCTGCGAGAGTTGAGCGTTAGATGGCTGAGCATTGCCGATGAGGGGGCGTGTAACTTACCAGGCCCTCAAAGATACCAGTTCCCTCCGTTGCGACACTTGGAGCAACGTACCACAGCTTATCCTTCAACTTGGTGAGCTGTAGCGCTTGAGTAACTTCCTCGGGGCTCATGTCTGCAAGAAGAATCCTGGTCAGTCGCGACGTCGTTTCCCACCATAACAATGCGAAAACTTACGGCCTTGAACATCCTGCTTGTTGGCAAAGACCAGCAGAAGAGCATCCTTCATTTCGCGATCGTTGATAATTTTATGAAGTTCGGAGCGAGCTTCCTCCAAACGAGCAGTGTCGCTGGAGTCCACGACGAAAATCAATCCTTGTGTACCTGAAGAGTTCACCCAATGTCAGCTAACTGCCGCCCGATCCGCTGATAACACGCGAAAAGCGAAAACCGACCAGAATAGTAGTGTCTCCAGAGGGGTCTGATCTTGTCCTGTCCACCAACATCCCAAACATTGAACTTGACGTTCTTGTAGGTGACGCTTTCAACGTTAAAACCGACGGTAGGGATAGTGGTGACGTCCTGATTGGTGAGCTTCAATTTGTAGAGGATTGCTAACGCACTGTGTTAGTTTCCACATAGCCATGGTTAAGAGTCCACGCAGAGTCGAGGAGCAAACGTACTGGTCTTTCCAGCAGCATCCAAACCCAGCATCAAAATCCGCATCTCCTTCGTACCGAAAATCTTCCCCATAATCTTGGACACTTGACCACCCATTGTGACTAAAGGAGGCGTCTCCTGAAGACCGCCGACTGTAGATAGGATAAAGGAGCGACTGAGCCTGCGGAGATTCAACGAGCGCCAGAAAGCGTCTCCGATGCAATGCAATTGCAGTGAGGAATCGGGATTCTAGATGGTGGACCGATTGGTCGAGTAGGGGGCCGTGGGAGAAAGAGGACAACGAAAACTAAACGTAAGGTCAATTACCCCGTGCTAGCGGTCCGCGTCAACAGGGCGACGTCTCCATAATGGACCATGCGTTCGCAGACGCAAGGTAAACAAGACATATGGAACTTACCTTATGTAAAGAAGGGGCAATAACGACGCACGTTGAGGCAGCAAAGAGAGAGTGTCGGTCCAACAGGGTCGAAAGTCAAATTGCACAAACGATTGATCGAACAGCAGCAATAAGAATTTCAGGGTTCACGATCCACACGAGGAGCGCCTCTCTCTCTCTCGCTCTCTCGCTCGTCTGCTCGAGCGCTCCGTAAAAGGGGCTGCCCATGACTAAGCGCCCCGCGCCAAGCACTCGGTGGTTTCAGCATTTGCAGCGTATCCTCAGGCACACACAAGCACCTACTAATTACACTTCTCCACTCGGACCCAGTTATTCCCGATCAAGAGGACCTTTGCTATAGAATGTAGATGCGCCTCACAATCAAATCATCATTGTCAATAGAAGCAAGTAGTCCGACTCCTTGGCGACGGACTTTTTTTTTATTCTTAGCGTGGCCTGTGCCATGAACCTAGCCTTGCTCTCGCAAGTCACAACCAAGCATAAGTACGTTCTGCAGACTTAGCGCACTCGCTATCTTGTGTAGTACCTATCGGAAGTCCCCGCTCCCGACGATCAACACCATCCATATCGAGTGGTGATGGTTATGCCTCATCGTACCTTGATATGACTTGGGAGAAAGGAACCTACAAGCCACCAAACATCTCCTGATCCACCTGGAGTTCTTCATGGCCAATTATTCTTCAATGATCCTGGTCAAAAAGGCGGATTCTCACTGCCGCCGGAGTAAATCGTATGCTGTTTGCAATACGTCATGGCGAAGTGGTAGCACACTCCATGGACTGGTGAAGTCATCCCACCACCACCCATGGTCTTACAAACCCCGGACCGGCGACCGAACCTGAAGTCCCTTCATTGAGATTTATAGGAAACAGTTCCTTTTTTTCCAAATCCTGAGTAGCAGTCTGATCACCTTATTGAAATCCCCTGGACACTGTACTCTATCTATAGTTCTCAATCATCATTGCCAACATGACCACTGACGGTATTCAACCGTTCCAGCGCCGTTCATCCTTTCATCAGCTGCAGCTCTCGCATCAGTTTGACAGGAACTCCTGGGAAGCCCCTCCATCAAAGGTAAATCTCGCTTTTGCCTCAATACCCCATGACATCTCTAACCGATGCCTTCCATTAGACTATCTATGCTGGTCTCTCAGTACTGTTCGATGACGATGGAGTCACTGTAGCCCTTGCGATTCGTGATACTACCTATCTTCTCGATTTTCATCAGAAGGACATCGTTCCACAGGGTGGCCGGAGCGTCTGTGCCGAAATCACCGACTATGTGCTGAACCAGTTGCGGGAGTATAGTGACGAACGCCTGGAGAAGTTTATCGGGCTGGCAATGCCAACTTCAGTGGCTCGGAAATGCTCCACTCTATGCTCACGTCTCTGGTCGGAGCTGGATGTGATTCCCTTGGTTCTGCCCGAGGAGAGTAATATCGGAGTCGATCACTACGTTGATCATCCTGTCCGGAAGTCTACTGGCTGGGAGCTTAAGAGCATCGATGAACAGGCAGAGTCCATGGGACGCAAGTGTGTCAGGTATGTCTTGCCCAACCTGAGGCAGTGCGCATGTGCTTACAGCACACAAGGTTGTTTGGCCCTGAAAACATTCCGTTGTTGCAAGTCGGTTTCTTGGGGTTAGTGGAAGTCGACACTGCCTTCCATGTGCGCCTTACAAACCTGGAGGACTTCCAGAAGACAGTCACACAGAGGACCTGGGATGCAGTTAATTACTATGCCGACGACCTCAAGAACAGAGGCACAAAGATTGCCTTCTTTAGTGCCACTCCTCAGGGCGGAGGAGTAGCCCTCATGAGACACGCCCTCGCAAGATTCTCATACTCGTTGGGAACTGACATTAAGTGGTAAGTCTTCCATCCAATAGCCTTTGGCATCGAATGTCTGATAGATCTTCCATTCTAGGTATGTTCCCAAACCGCGGCCTGGAGTTTTTCGCATAACCAAAAACAACCATAATATCCTTCAAGGCGTTGCTGCTCCGGATGAGCGCTTGAGCAATGAGGACTGGGAAAAGGTTATTGATTGGATCAACGAGAATGCGAAACGATACTGGCTCTCCCCTGGTGGCTCTCTGCGGCCGCCTGAGGAGGGAGGCGCCGACGTTATCATCATTGACGATCCGCAAATGCCTGCATTGATTCCCATTGCGAAGAAGCTAGCACCTAACCGACCGGTCATTTTCCGAAGCCATATCCAAATTCGCAGTGATCTGATCAATCAACCTGGCTCCCCACAGGCAGATACCTGGTCGTGGATCTGGAAACAGGTGCAGCAGGCAGATCTGTTCATCAGTCACCCAGTGAGCATCTTCGTGCCGAAAGATGTCCCAGACGAGATGGTGGGCTATATGCCTGCTTCAACTGATTGGTCAGTCCCAAGAGATACCTGCATGTTGTATCTAGCTGACATTCCGAGTTAGGTTGGATGGTCTGAATAAGAACATGCGTGAAGAGGATGTTGCCTATTACGGCCGTGTCTTCAACTCTGTTTGCAGGAACTCAGGGATGATGACTCTTAATTACCCACATGGTGAGAGCAATCCTAAAGCCACACATGCATATGTTTTGCTATCGAGAGAATGCTAACCACTTAGCAGACGAGTACATTGTTCAAATTGCCCGGTTCGACCCTTCCAAGGGTATCTTCGACGTTGTAGATTCGTATGCAAAGTTCTATAGACGGTTCACCTCATCTCTACCCGACAGAACGCCACCCAAACTGCTTATTTGTGGGCACGGCTCCGTTGACGACCCCGATGGCACTGTGATCTACGATTCTGTGCTAGCTCACATTGAGAAAGACCTCCCAGACCTATCTGACAAGATCTGCGTTGTCCGACTCGGGCCCTCGGATCAGGTGCTTAACGCACTCCTTTCCAAGGCCAAGGTCGCTCTGCAGCTGTCCACACGTG